GTGCAGCTCTGCAACTGCATCCTGGCCCATCCTCACCCTTCTGCCCCCAATCCTCACCTCCTTGTACCCCCAATATGTTTTTCCCAATAAAAAAAAAGATGTCTATTAGGGAAAAGTGTGTCTTCCAATACGAAACCATGAGAGATATTTAAAAAATAAAAAAAAAATAAGAACTAAGAACTATGCTACTATTTGGGAGCTCTGGCAACCCAATGGTAAGAAGCTGTGCTGCAATCCCAAAGGCATGTGGTTCGTATCCTGAGTTTGTATGTGGGTTCTCCATGGGAGAAGGATCTATAATTTCCTTCCATGTGATTAACTGCCTTTGAAAACCCACTGGAGGGTCATCTATGGGCTGGTTCCAACTTGATGACACGCACAATGACATGCTACTATTACTAACTGTCACAGTGTCAACTGTGATGCAAAGCCCTATAAACTGTGATAAATACACTGCTATCAAGTAAATTCTAACTCACAGAGACCTTCCATTGGTTTCAGAGGCTGCAAATCTTAATGGGAGAAGAATGACTCATTTTTTCCCCTGCTGAAAGCTGATGGGTTTGAACTGTGAATTATAAGAATATATAAATGTTCTGAGTATACTTTGGGAAATGTTGATGAAAAGGAAGAACAGAGCTAAATGGATTCTTGACTGTTAGAAGCAAGACCCAACTTGAGTCAACATAGCCTATAAATGGTATTTCCTTAGACTCTGAAGTGATCCATCCATGGTATCCGCCCAAAATGCTGTGACAGAGCCTCAGAAAAAAAGGTCAAGACATGCCTCTGAATAGTAGCTCCAGTCTTAACTATCTCCATAGATTCTCCATAGTCTTTTCCATTTCTCTGAAAATAGAGCTGCTGAACACTGTAGCCTTAAAATCCCTAAGTTTTCCTGGGAATAGATTGATTTATTTTAAGAGGTTCAGTTTCAAAATCCCTAAAGAAGGATTGGCCCAATTTTGTGTTCCCTACCCTGAGCCAATCAACTGTGGGGAAAGAATAGGGCCCTATCACATTGGAAGTCATTTTACACCATAACTAACTGAATAGAATAAACTAGTAACTTTATGATAGCAACAAGACCAATTAGAATTCCAAGAGAGACCATCAAAGGCAGCTAAAATAACCCTCCTGGAGTCAGACCAAGTTTCAGAAGCTGGACTACTCCTGCAAAGGGGCTCACATTTAAATGTATCAGAGTGTGGACCATATGCCCTGGAGAATTCTTATAAAAACAGTAGAGGAATCA